GTTGGACTTTCAATTTAATCCAAAAAGTCCTACAAGAGATTTTTCATATTACTGAGACCCACCACCAAAACATTCCGTGCTTATTTGCTTTAACGTTTACCGCAGCTGATATTCCTTATTACGACTACAGAAAAATATATTAACTGTGTCACAGTTTAAACTTACTGATATGATTGTGACGTAAGGAAAGATGTCGCAGCGCATTTGGTCCATTAAGTGAATTGGTTGGCACTTCAGAGAGACAGTTACGATCCACATAGAAATCCTGCAATTGGAGGGTAGAAGCAAGTTCAATCGGTTAGATGTGATAAAATTATAAGTTACTTCCAATAATTTAAAAAATTTCGTTGAGTAATTATATTAGCCGGATAAGTTCATTTGAGTACAAATATGCTCTCAATTACACTGAGAAAAGAGTTTAGTTACGTCAACTAAATATATTTTGTTCAACACATGATTTGGTTATAGTTAGCATGTGTTGAGGGAAGACTATTTTCTGAGTGTAACTTTCATCCTTGGCAGGCTTAGGATCCTTTTCTCAAGTAAATTTAAAATTTATTTGCCATTTAAATATAAATTTCATTCTGAAAAAATGTGTTTGAAGGGCAGATAAACTTTAAAACCTAGTAGTTGAGAAAACGGCACTTACAATTTTACTTGCGCGTCAAAAATGCTCACTAACACCGCGAATTTCGCACATAAATTTCCAAACCACAACTTGTTAGTCAACTATGTATATAAATTATTGAAAAGCATTGCTCTTCAGCTCACTCAGCCAAGGTGGCCATATTACGATTGTATGAACGCTCATGCATTTAAAAACGCTACTTAAAATGGCATCTGCGTTTGCAATGCACCACAGTTGCTCATAGCAAATGTGTCAACTAATAAACTAACCAATCGACTATTTATGATGGCACGTACACTTACATACATACATACATGCATACATACATACATACAATGGGTGAGTATTTACATTGGACATGTATGTACATAGGTATACGAAGAGTTCACCAACTCTTGCGAAAACAATGTGACTGGAATGTGTAAGCGACTTTTTATTGCAATAAGTCGTATGCATGTTACGTAACATACATATGTACAGTGTGTATGTTCATTCGTTAACTCACCCTACTCAATCTATTGACAGTATATTGTAGTTATGTAATGTGTCGCTGGTTCACCCACCTTTAAGTCCGCACAGCCTTTGAGCAGCCCCTCTTCGATCGATTTAATTTTATTGCCAGATAAATCGAGTGTTTTCAGATTTTTCAATGGATGAAATTCAGCTGTAGAAAAGATCGGATTCAAGCTATCGCCAAGTAGATTATTCGCCAAACGTAATTCTGTGAGTGATTCTTTGAGACCAAGGAAAGATTTCTCTGGTATGCGGCGTATAAGATTATTCGATAGATCCAACTCCTCGATAGGTAGTTTTAGTGTGCCAAAGCTCTGTTGGATAAAATGTGAAGCCATTGATTACAAAATATTGCATAAAAATAAGTAACTAAATAATAATGTGATATTTAATTATTATGATATTGATCTACACATTATTTGATATAGTACCTCATTGATCAAAGGACACATTATAAGGTTGTGCGATTTATTTGTATATATATAAAAAAGCTTAGCGCTGACGAAACTTTATAGATAATAGATCAGGCTAAATTTAAGCGATGGCCTGGCATATTTTGTCTTTTGGAGCATCGATCGATCTCACATGATCAAGTCGTACGATATTTGTAGCCAATTCAAGTCATCTTTGCGAGAGACTACCACACCCTGAAATCGTTCTTCCAGAATGTTCATCGTGCTGTCTACATGTAGCGTCGTCCGGAATCAAATGTTGTTACACATATATGTATATCGCTCAATTTGATAAAAAAGAAATCAGTTATGATCGATATGTCGCGCTCACTTCAAGGATAAATGACGCCACCGGTAGAAATCCTCACCAAACAATACATTTTTGTAGATGGTAATACCTGATTGGTTACCGAACCGGTCGCTTCTAATTAGACCACCGCAAAATTGGTGTAACTAGCGTAACGAACGAGCTCAGGCTAGAACTCTATATGTACATCAATGGCATCGACGATTAGCCAACTCAAAGTCTTGGAAGTTACATTTAGCAGCATCGACGCTTTCTCAGCAGTTACAAAGTCATTAAGTCTATAGCCGGCAACACCTTGATCACAAGATACAAAGTAATCGGTTGCAAACTTCGTGGCGATAATGCGAACGGCAGGAACGAGTGAGGCTGACTGAAGAAATGTACCTCTCTGTCTCGAAACGTTCCACCTCTCGTCATGTGAGATGACAACTGCACGAGCAGAGAAAAGACATTGAGCCGTACCGAAACTGTCAGGACGAGCCTCAGCAGCCGTACGAAAAACATAGTTTTAGGAGGGGTACCGCCGCCATTCAATAAAGAGGAAATCGGAATGCAGAAAGATACCAGTTTCGGCTAAACTCAGATGTGGCGAATATCTGCTCAGATTGCCGAGTCACACTGCTAACTAAAATAAAGCAGTATACAAAACTTTACTCGAACGTAAGCAGCTCACCCGAAGTACGGGAGCCTCTGTCGTACGAACTAAATAACTAGTATTTGCCCAACCAATCCTGCGTATCCACACTCTGTCTGAACTGATCGTGTACAGTAATTTGTATGTCTGTCGTTATTTAGGCATCTATAAGAACACCATTTTTGGCCGGTTCGTCAGCTCTTTCGTTTTGGCCATAGCTGGTCTTCCTATTGTCATCGTACAAGCTACAACGGACATTTAGTATGTAGGGCTTAATGGCTGCCGGACTGTCAATAAACTATACAAAACTACTATACCAAAGGAGGTGAACATCTAATCGAATAGCAATGCCTCATCTCAGTTTTTCAGTTGAGTCTAATTATTTGATAGTCAGACTTATATGGCACCAGGTCACTTTGTTGGAAATTTTCTTTACGTATGAGTTGGTGAAGAAAGGCACCCTCGAGTCAATTCCACGAGGGAAAGAAATAATTTCAGTGCCCTTACTTCCTTGCGGACTATTCTTTAACAGATGGACCTCAAGTGAGCTCTACGAACGCTGGGATAAAATCAGGACATGTGCAACTGCGTAGACAATAAATCAATTTTCTCAAAAATGGCTACGTACGACAGCAGTTTTTAAAGTTGAAGCAAAAATAGAAAGTGGTAAAAAAAAAATAAAATATCTACAACGGAAAATTGTATTGCTTAAAAGCTTTGTTTTAACTAAAATTTTTGAAAACATCTTAGTTCTTATCTATGCCATTACAAACCACGAATCTCAGTTTGGTTTAAAAATCTTTAGTTAAAAGATTTAAATGGAATACACCGCACGTAGTGCATAAATATTTATGAAGATATTTGAATAAGACGACATACTTCTCATTTTGGTGAGAGCTTTTGAGACGACTAACAACAATTGAAGTTAGAAAATTATGGTCACACGCCATGCTGCTGCGGCATAAAACAAGTTATAACTATACGTCATAATAACAAAAACAGCTACAATAATAATACTGCCAGCTCGAGTAACGCCCCCGATAGTTGAAATTTGTGCTGCAAAAAAGCTAATGACAACAAAAAAAAACCAACCAAGTGCAGCGAAAAATATGAACGAACTAATACTGGAACAAAGCAAAAAAATATTTCAAAGCAAATTTCACTTTCTTCGCTGATTCCAAATCATAAGTACATATTTTGCAAGTGGTCCATGTACAAGTATGTATAATAAGTACAAAAGGAAAAAGTCTGCAAACAATGACAAACGCAAATTTCAAATTACGCTAATAACATCGAAAGTATTAGCTGCTGCTGCTGCTGCTGCCGCCAAGGCTGTTGCTTAGGGCAAGGCACGGCTGCAGAAATCATTTTTTCTGCTACCATACATCACAAAGCAACTTTCCATCATACAGGTTCTATTATTGATTATTTTGCTGCTGTTTTGAGTGGTTTGCAATTAAATAAATTGGCTGACAAAATGAGAAAATTACTTCAGTATGCAGGCGTTGGCGTTGGCGTTGGCGTTGACGTTGGCCTGAGAATAGTTCAGTGTCATTGTGCCGATTGTCTATTTCAGATTTTGAATCGTATTTTTTGTTTTGTTGTACTTTTTGTATTTTGAGGCAACCTTTTTTTTTGCACTCCCAGCTGTTTTTGAAATCGCTTACTTGGTATCAGATATTTGGCGCTTTCTTGTCGCACTCGATGGCGGGCTATCAGTGAAAGTGTTGTAAAGCAAATGTTGGTTGTTTGCCTGAGAAACATGCTTTAGCATAAAAGTACATGCATACTTATGTACATATGTACATGTTCACATTCCAACAAGTTTGTTCACACATACCATCATACACACATTTGAATGTACTGTAATATGAGAAAAAGTTGAAGGCTGATTGCACTTGCTCTTGGTAAAATTTTAAAAGTGTACATATGTATATTTAAACTGCATCAAATCACGTAACTACGCAATCATTATAAACTCCTGCCGACCGTAATTGCTAAACTTTTGCTTTCGAAATGCAATAATTGAGAGTGAGAAAATATCAGCGGCATCTTTGACAATGCGGCTGCAATAATTGCGAGCGCATTTCGATTCGCAAATAGCGCAAAATAGAGTTGCATTTATTGCTTTAATTTATTCGCATTTAGATCTCGATTCTGTAGTTAATTGAGTTTAATCAGACTTAGGCGAAGTCCGCACCGAGGAAATGCCTCAAGGCAGCAACCAACACATTACCAATTACCCAAAAGAAGAGAAGGGCTGAGGGCATGCAGCCTTGTCGAACTCTACTGTACACTTTGAGCGTCTCAGTCAGCTTTCCGTTATGAAGGACAGGACACCTAGCTTTGTAGTACGTAGATTTAATAACAGCGACACTAACCACAGGTTAAATATCGTTATCGAGACTCTCGATATCCTGTTATATATGTTATGAAGTAAACCACGTCGATAACGATATTTAACCTGCAGTTGAGTACATTAAGGGCCGTTCCTCATTATCTGGTTAACATTGGTCATTAGCAGGTTAAACATTGTTGTCGATGTGATCGACACCATAATATATAACAGGGAGTCGATAACAATGTTTAATCTGTAGTTAGGGAATTATCTCGTGAACTAACTGCAGTTGATCCGGATTAAGTCCTAGAGTTAATTCCCAAACTTAACTCGGATTAAGGGAATTTTAGATGACAACACTGACCAAAACTCAGAGAGCATAGAATATAGAGAATATACAAATCTAGCATGGACATATACCTTTTCATAGGCAAGTCTCACCACTCGGCTACCGCGGATGAAGGAAGCAGCTGCTTTGTTTGCTCAGGGAGCGTGGAACACAAAGAAAATGCAAATTTAGCATGGACCTTGTCGTCGGTAATGCAGCCGTCTGTTAAGGCGCAATTTTGATCAGATCCGTTAATCCGGATGAACGTTGCCGTCTGTCTATGCTTTTATTAACGAAACAATGAGTAATCGGCACTTATGAGGTTTCCAAACAAAAGAGAAAAGTGAGAAGAGATCGTTAAAAAATATTGAAAAATTAAAATTTTGAAGTCGACGGAAGCTACAGCTTTTCACTGCCCGGTTTTTCTCTTTGGGAAGCATTGTGGTCCGCCCATTAATGAACATCTTACGCGTCACTTATTTATTCTTCTCACTGAATGACGGCCAATTTTATATCAGTAACTACTTCGAACACAGTCCGTGCTCTCCACAATCATAATTTCCTTAATTGTAATTTTNGGCTGCCATAATTATTGTGGCAATCGCAACATAAAAAATCCAGTTTTTGGTATGCAACTTTTTTTTACAAAACTTTTGTCATTGTATTGCTGCGGTTGCAACATGTTGACAAGCCCATCAAGTTTAAATGAATTTATAATTACAAGAAATACTTGAATTTTTCTGCCCACCGAAAGAATTCCCATCGCCAAGCGCAACAGTGGATAAAAAAAAAAAAAAACTTCGACAAACATAAATAGCATAAAATGCTTGTCTGTAATAATTTAATATTATGATTTAAATTGACAGGCTACAAGACGCCTGTACACGCACACGCACTCATACATATGCAAGTACTTATGTGAAGACGGTAATTTCAGTTGATTGCGTATTGACCACTTTTGTTGTTGTTGTTGTTGGGCTGAATTGCAACGCTGCCTGAGGCCCAGCTCAACGTTGCACTAACTAACTCATCGTCGGTCCACTCACCTGCGATGGCAAAACTTGCTGGCCGCTGTAGCGCTGCGAGTAGGAGACAATCGGCGCGCCATACGGCAATTGCGGCGCCTCGCCATGGAAGACGACACGATCGCAGTCCATTGCAACCGCGCCCAGCTGCCCCGTCGAAGCGAATGGCACCACATTGCATCTGCGGAAAAATGAGCGAAATGATATAGTTAGCTGATTGCAGATATCGATCGGTAATAAAAATAAAAAGATAATAGAAAATAAAAGAAATACCAAATAAGTATATACATTAAATTAAAAGAAAAAAGAAAAAAAAACACACACACACAACTGAAATGCGATCGGCAGCTTATGCGGAAATCAATTCTCCAATTGTGTGTAGAATTCTTTTTCATTAGCTCAAAGTATCATAGAAAATTAATGGCCGATATACTCGTTTAGCTGGTTATTGGCGGCTTAGATTCTTTTTAATTTGTATTTGCCCATAAATACGTGAACATGGACGCACACACAAATAAAGGCATGCCTGCAGGAAAATTTCACGCAGCTTATCAAATTATTTTATAGTAATATTAAAGTCAGACTCCTCTGTATAAAGGCAACTAAAAACAAAAATTTTATTTTTTATCTGACCTCCACTATCTGTTTTTCTACGGGGACATTTATATATCAAAAATCTGTGCATGTTCATATTACTCAACTATGTGTGTATGTAGTCTTAAATATGTACATACATATGTATGTGCATATGTCTGACTCACCTGCAGGGTAACCGCAATGCCGGACTGAGCTCTGGACATGGTCGCCAAGCTTTGATTTGTGACAAGTAGAGCAACAGCAGCAGAAAGATGTTCAGATGCCGTATTCGTCTCAGATGACTGTGTGGGTGCTGCATCTGCAGGAAAAAAAGAAACAAATAATAATAGTTTTAAATATATTTATGTATGTATACACAGATGTGTACTAATTATCAAACTAACAAACTAAACTTAACAAATAAGGTGTGCATCTAATTATATATTTACTACATATGTATGTACCTATGTATGTATGTACGTAGGCAATGCTGTTAATTTGATTTGAAATATTATTTGGCTATTACCTACATGTATGTAAATATTTATTGCTTGTAAAATGGTATAGTTCAAGGTAACGGTTCAAAGAGAAGAAATATGGGAAATCTGTCAAAACCCTTTAATGCTGCTAAGGGCAATTCGGCATGTAAGGTAAAAAAATCGAATAAAAGCACTTTTTAATTAGCCTAATATCCGAATAAGGCACGACCTGCACCTATCTTTTTAATGGATGGAATAAATTTTGTTTGAAATTTAACGTTGGCGCGAGTGGGCTGGCTGAAACAATCCTGACCAGGAAAATTTTAATTAAATATGCAACAATTATTATTTTTTTTTTTAGCTTACCCTTATTTGTTTAATGAAAAAAATATATACCAGTAATTTTCCCACACCTGTTTAATAAATAAATCGTATATCAAGACATAAGATATGTATACATGTATAAGAAAACTCTCAAATTTTAAAAAGACACAAAAAAAACTGAAACATTTGAACTTAATATTGGGTCAAAGATTACGGATCTGTATACCATTTTTTTGTATCAGGTCGTTTCTTTTTTAAATAAAATATTGTTTACTTCTACCATACAAAACTAATTATTATCTGACACTACCATCTCTGAACTCACTTTCTTTTAAAAGTATGCCCAAATCAATTGTCATTTCGAAAATTTAGTTTCGAGTTTCATTATCAGCGATCCTAAAAACTCCAAAATACGCTGTTTTAATAAAATTTACTGATTTCTTCCTTTTTTGTGTCCGCCATAAGTGGATGCGCCATTTTACACTTTTAAAATCTGACTTCAGATCAGAACACTTGAAAGATGATCAAAATCATAAAAAATATATTTGTATAAAAATCAAATTTTATTAAATTCGGATAACATCTACCAAATCTACTCTTTAATGTAGTCGCCACCTCATGGCACTTTTTGTACTTCTTCATCTGAATCTCAATTACTACTTTTTGTCACAGATTGTTTGGTAATCTGCCAATGAAAAGATAAACACAAGACTAGCAGATTCAGGCATGCCTAGAGTCGAGCCAACCACTTAGTTGGCTGTTTCGAGACATTGCGAAACTTGGTACTTTCTGTCACTCTCAGACCACTGAGCGTCACTTGCACTTGCTTGCTTTATCCATAAGGCTTGTAGGGACGACCACACTAACCCTAATGCTTCAGGCCCATTAGCATGAGTCCTTCATGCTGAATTATCTGGAGAGACTAGTTGAGCTAAGCACTTGTAGGGAAGCTCTTCATTATAAGCTCTTAGAAATCCGGTAGATTTACATCTCCAGGATAATACAAATTAATTATGTCGGCCATCAGCGACTTGGAGCAAGCTGCCGATCAATAGCGTGGAGTATTTGCATATTCGAACGCCTTGTACTACCTTAATGCAGTTATATGCGGTAAGAGGGACAAAATTCACTTCTCTCTTTGGAAAAGTGCTGGTAGCCCGGTCAGACGGCAGAGACCTGGCTATGAGAGACTCGACCATTTGGCTGGAAAGGGCTCAGAACAAGTATTCCTCGGACTTCAAACAGTTATAGCAATCTCACAATTGGCCACTAAAGTCACCATCAGAAACTGCTAGGTATCGAGGAGCTGCAGGTAGACAAAACTCATGTTGCCCTTTATCTCGGAAGATCTAACTAGGTGAGTGCCTTCATCGGGCAGATGGAAGAATGATATCCTCCGAACTCAAGAAGGATATTTTCTCAAAAATTTTTGGACCTAACATACTTCAAAAACATCTGCATAGAAAGCCCAGGCCAAGTATTTCAAATGCTATTACTCGACTAGATTTTTTATATTTCCAAAAACATTTCAAAGGTAAAAATTAATCCTCAGTTCGAAAGTTTGAAATATTAAACTAAAAAGCAAAAAAAGTAAGTAAATTAACATGTAAGCATAAATCTCAAGCCAGCCTGTGCTCATAAATTGTGCACCAAATATTTTTACGTTGAAGTTTTTTTTTACAAAAGCACTTAAAATTTTGGTAGCCGAAATAATCATTGAAGCGAAGGTGTTGCCTCCGCACCTACATGCATAAATATTCACAAGTCTGCACAATTTCATTAAAAAAATAAAATAAAATAAACACCAAAAAATAGGCACGCAACCGGTATTTATGAGTTGAGGATGCTTTCGGAAATTTACATAAGCCATAAAAATGGAAACTAGTTGAACGCAGAGAACATAGATTTGTGAGTGTACATACATACATACATACAAACATATATAC